CAGGGAAAATATTAAATGACACAGGAAGCATAAAAAGAAGATGGATGGAAGGAATACAGAATCACTATACCAAAAAGAATTGATCGACATTCAATCATTTCGGGAGGCAGCATATGATCAGGAATCAATGGTACTGAAGCAAGAAGTCCAAGCTGCACTGAAGGCATTGGTGAAACACAAAGCTGCATGAATTGATGGAATACCAATTGAGAAGTTTCAACAAATGGATGCAGGGCTGGAAGTGTTCACTTGTCTATGCCAAGAAATTTGGAAGATAGCTACCTGGCCAACCGGGTGGAAGAGATCCATATTTATGCCTATTCCCAAGAACCAGATGCAGAAATTATTGAACAATATCATTAATACCACATGCAAGTAAAATTTTGCTGAAGATCACTCAAAAACAGCTGTAGCAGTTTACCGACAGAGAACTCCCAGAAATTCAAGCCAGATTCAGAAAAGGACGTGGAACCAGGGACATCATTGCTGATGTCAGATGGATCCTGACTGAAAGGAGAGAATACCAGAAAGATGTTTACCTGTGTTTTATTGACTATGCAAAGGCATTCGACTGTGTGGATCATAACAAATTATGGATAACATTTCAAAGAATGGGAATTCCAGAACACTTAATTGTGCTCATGAGGAACCTGTACACAGATCAAGAAACAGTTGTTCAAACAGAACAAGGGGATACTGTGTAAAGTCAGGGAAAGTGTGTATCAAGGTTGTACATTTTCACCGTACCTATTCAATCTATATGCTGAGCAAATAATCCAAGAAGCTGGACTGTATGAAGAAGAACACGGTATCAGGATTGAAGGAAGACTCATTAACAACTTGTGGTATGCAGATGACAACTTGGCTTGCTGAAAGTGAAGAGGACTTGAAGCACTTACTGATGAAGATCAAAGACTACAGCCTTCAGTATGCATAAAGAAAACAAAAATCCTCACAACTGGACCAATAGGCAACATCATGATAAACAGAAAAGATCGAAGTTGTAAAAGATCTCATTTTACTTGGATCCACAATCAACTCCCATGGAAGCAGTAGTCAGGTAATCAAAGGACGCATTGCATTGGGCGAATCTGCTGCAAAAGACCTCTTTAAAGTGTTAAAAAGCAAAGATGTCACCTTGAAGACTAAAGCGCGCCTGATGCAAGCCATGGTGTTTTCAGTTGCCTCATATGCATGCGAAAGCCGGATGATAAATAAGGAAAACCAAAGAATTGATGCCTTTGAAATGTGGTGTCGGCAAAGAGTATTGAATATACCATGGACTACCACAAGAACAAACAAATCTGTCTTGGAAGAAGTACAGCCAGAATGCTCTTTAGAAGCAAGGATGGCGAGACTACATCTCACGTACTTTGGACGTATTATCAGGAGGGACCAGTCTGCAGAGAAGAACATCATCCTTGGTAAATTAGAGGGTCAATGAAAAAGAGGAAGACCCTCAATGAGATGGATTGACACAGTGGCTACAACAATGAACTCAAGCATAACAACAATTGTGAGGATAGCACGGGACTGGGCAGTGTTTCATTCTGTTGTACATAGGGTCACTGTAAGTCAGAACCGACTCGAGAGCACCTAACAACACAACAACATGTACAAGCAGTTCTAAATAATGGCTGATAAAATACTCCTCCCTGAAAACGTTGTATTGGTCTGTCTTAATTATCTAGTGCTGCTATAACAGAAATACCACAAGTGGATGGCTTTAACAGAGAAATTTATTTTCACAGTCTAGTAGGCTAAAAGTCCGAATTCAGGGTGCCATCTCCAGGGGAAGGCTTTCTCTCTCTTGTCAGCTCTGGCGGAAGGTCCTTGTCATCAGTCTTCCTGTGGCCAAGGAGCTTTTCAGTGCAGGGACCCCAGGTCCAAAGGACATACTCTCCTGCTCTTCTTTCTTGGTGGTATGAGGTCCCCCTGTCTCTCTGCTCGTTTCTCTCTTTTATATCTCAAAAGAGATTGGCTTAAGACACAACCTAATCTTGTAGATTGAGTCCTGCCTCATTAACATAACTGCCACTTATCCCATCTCATCTACATCATAGAGATAGGATTTATAACACACAGGAAAATCACATCAGATGACAAAATGGTGAACAGTTACACAACACTGGGAATCGTGGCCTAGCCAAGTGAATGGACATTTTTGGGGGGAACACAATTCAATCCATGATATTGTCCAAGACCTAAAAAACTGCCTGCACTAAGTAGACCTGCCCTGCAGGGAGGCAGACGAAGAGGTTAAGATTGAGAGGGTATGTGGAAGCTCGCAAGACCAAGTCCAGGATGTGGGTGAGGTGGTAGTGGGTGGCTGCTGTGGTGAAAAGCTGATGTGGTGCTACGGCTGAAGAGGACTCTTTCAGCTGGGTGGTGGTAAGTAGCACCCATTTCAACTGCTTTCAGCTTCTAGAATCTAAACATTGTCTGGAATCCTACACTCTTTTTGTTTTATTTTATTTTTATTTTGAGTTGAGTCAGTTGCTAGTCATAATTACATATGCTTTACCATCTTCAAAGGTCAGCTCTGCTCATATCTGCATCTTCATCAATGTCTCACTGTGTTTTTTCACATAATTGATGGTGTTATGGATTGAATTATGTTGAAGTCCTTACCCCTGGTACCCAGGAATGTGACCTTGTTTGGAAATAGGGTCTTTGAAAATGTTATCAGTTAACATGAGGTTATACTGGAGTAAGGTGGGTCGTACTCCCATCCGAGTGGTGTCCTCTAAAAGAGAAGAGACACAGAGGAAAGGCAGCATGTGACGACAGAGTTATGCTACAGCTGCAATCCAAGGAATGCCTGGGGCTACCAGAAACTGGAAGAAACACAAGAAAGACTCTTCCTCTAGAGCCTCTGGCGAGGACATGGCCCAGCCGACACCCTGAATCTGGACTCCGAGACTCCAGAATTGTGAGAGAATAAATTTCTTATAAGCAACCTACTTTGTGGTACTTTGTTATAGCAGCCATAAGAAACTAATACAGATAGCACTTATTTGATTACATGTTTTCTGCCCACTAGATTTTGTACGCCTCGAGGGCAATGTTTGTGTCTTATTCAATTTTGAATCTCCACTGCCTACATACAGGCACTTAAACACTTGTCAAATGAATGCACAAGCGTATTTTGCCTTTTTTTTATAACAGGGCTTTGAACCAGTTCGTTCCAGTTCATACCCCTACCGAGAATTTGCATTTCTAACAAGTTTCTTGCTGAGAATTTGCATTTCCACCCCAGATATACTGAATCAGAATCTACATTTTAATAATATCCCCAGATATTATTATGTTATTCTTACGTATAACTTCCTGGGAAGCTGTTAGAAATGGAAATTCTCCACAAACCAGTTTGAAGCCCTGCTTCACAGATTCTTCAGATCTCAGATGACCAGGCATCAGTAGATTCAGAAAGGTGCTGTTTGTCTTCTTTCACGTAAATGAAATGCGTATATGTTCCCCTTTAGGAAGTGTAACTGTTGGATCTTCATTCCAGCGTGAAACCACAGGGATGTGGGACCAGGTTAGGGAGGTCCCACAGTACAGCAAGAATGCTCCGTAGAAGCGAGGATGGCAAAGCTTGGTCTCAAGTACTTTGGACATGTTATCAGGAGGGACCAGTCTCTGGAGAAGGACGTCATGCTTGGTAAAGTAGAAGGTCAACGGAAGAGAGGAAGACCCTCGACAAGATGGATTGACATAGTGGCTGCAACAATGTGCTCAAGCATAGCAATGATTGTAAGGATGGCGCAGGACCGGGCAGTGTTTTGTTCTGTTGTGCATAGGGTCGATACGAGTCGGAACCATTGGTGTGCTCAAGTCCATTGTTGCAGCCACTGTGTATTTTGAGTGCCTCCCAATATAGGGTGCTCATCTTCTAGCACTATAGCAGACAGTGTTCTGTTGTGATCCATAACATTTTCATTGGCTAATTTTCAGAAGCAGATCACAAGGCCTTTCTTTCTAGTCTTAGTCTAGAAGCTCCACTGAAATCTGTCCACCATTGGTGAACCTGCTGGTACTTGAAATCCTGGTGACCTAGATTCTGGCATTATAGCAACATGAAAGCCACCACAGTGTGTTGACTATGCTTAATATTTAGTTGGCATTACTCAGGGTGCTACAGTGTAAGTAGAGAATACTTCACCCATTGTTAGGCTATCCTTGCTTGAAGATGTTGTGTTTGAAGACTGGAATTTGCCCTCAAACAAGCAGCTGGAGTTTGGACATAGAATATAGCTTTTTTTTCCCTGCTAGTTTTATAAAATATGCATTCAGAAAAAATATATCTGGTCTGTATCAAAGAACTTGGCTGTTTAACTCTAGCAAGCTGCCTGTGTAATGCATTACTGCTCTTGATAGGAAACTTTTAAGTCATTTAAATCTTGAATTGAGTTAAACAGATCCTTAGCACACAGGTGTTCTATAAATAAAAGAATGAGTAAAGAATTTAGTAACCTTCCTTTTCATGCCCATCCCTTAGGGAGGTCCTTTTATTTTGTTTGCACCAATAGGATCATTGTTAGGGGACTCTTCAGGGAGGTTTAGCTTCGCCTGGGTGAGGCTTTCCCAAGGGAGTCCCTTTTAACCTGTTTCAGGTGTTCTGCCACCATTTCCCTTGGTTCTTTCACTAAAAATGAATAATTTGTTGATCTCTGTTGTAAGTAGCTCAGCACCAGGGCTTTGTGTTGGCAACTGGGGTCAGAGAAAGAATGAAGGTAGAGCGCTGACCTCGCCTTGCTGAAATCAGAAAGGTTGAAGTAGTCCAGCGCCTCACTAAGAGAAAGCTAGAGGAGAAAGAAAGGGAAGGAGAGAGAAAAATGTTTTTGAAGAGGAAGTGGTAAGAGGCTTCAGAATTTCAGTGTGACCTGTTCTGTCAGGTGATTTCTGGGGGGAGGGGACATGAAGAAAAAAAAGTTAAGTAAAATGTCCTTATAAAGACAAAATCTATTTCTTTCCTGGCCGATGATTTGTCATTCTAGTCACTTCCTGCCTTGTGACCACACAGCCAGGGTTGACAAAGTTGTTCTCCAGATCAGAAAGAAGGGGGTTCCTGATCACACGCCAGTCCCGCCAAGGACAGTTTCTCTACAAGGTAAATTTTCCTTCTGGCTTTTTGTTGTCCCCAGGTGTCTATGATGTAGTTGTTTGTTACATAGCTCTGTTACTGTGACTGTGGACTTTGGCTTCAGGAGAAGCCCGAAGGCTTCTTTGGACTGGAGATAGCACCTGTCCTCTGCGCCCTCTGTGAGCCCCACCACCCTTTAACTGCCCGTGAAATCAGCAGCCACCTTGTGTTGCCGTCCAGCACGGGACCCCTCGACTCTCTGGGTTGGGTTCTTCTGAAGTTCTCCAGTTATCACTCTCAGAAAGAAAAAAAAAAAAGAACTATGATATTTTTCCTTTTTAAACCAAACCAAGTTCTAATTTATTTCAATTACTCTCCTTTAGGGAGGCTATATTTCCTGTGATTTTATCTCCTTTAAGATGTTTTCGGAAAGTGCATATTGATCATTTAGATTGTGCTGCTCGCTGGACTAATGGGGGTGGTTTAATTTTAGCTCCTGTGGTTCTATTTGTCTAAAATTTTCTTACGGTACTTTTGTGGGTGGGTTAGCATCTTGGGTCATGTGTGACTGAGTGTGCTGCTGGTTATTTGAGTCATTTTGGCGCCAAGGGTTTTTAATGGGTGCGCTTAATAACCACATGAAATTAGAGGCCGCCTCTTCTCCATTTGTTCTCTGAAAATAAAAGCAGTTTGGGTTGTTGAATCGTACTGTTTTTGTAGGATTGTCTGGACTGTTATGTTTATGCACATACAGAAGAATGCCCCATTAGATCTTGGGAAAAGGCTTCTATCTACAATAGAAATTCTTATAAAGTTGATACAGGATATTTATTCCAGAAACTTTGCTGAAACACAGAGACTTTGGGTCTTGTATTATCAGCCCTGTTGGTGCAGTGGTTAAAGTGCTGAGCTGCTAACTAAAAGGCTGGCAGTTTGAACCCAACAGCTGCTCCATGAGACAAAGATGTGGTAGTCTGTTCCTATAAAAATTACAGCCTGGGAAACCCTATGGGGCAGTTCTGTTCTGTCCTATATTGTCGCTATGAGTCGGAATTGATTTGATGGCAATGAGTTTGGTTTTTTTGGGTTTTAGTATCAGCTTTTATTTAATGATCATTATCAAATAAAATTAAGAACCAGAGACAGATGATAAATATAAAACCCATTAAGACTGGAAACAGATTCATTGATTAGCACACTTATCAAAACCCAATTTTTCTTAATCAAGTACAGTAACTTGTCTTGCAAAATTACTCCTTCAGGACAACTTAAAAAAACAAAAACTGACTATTAAGCAAATAAAGGCAGCTTGTTTTTGAATTTGTATAAATTTATCTTGATTTCTTTCTATTAAATGAAATTATTTAAAAGAACATCTGTGGAGGCAAATTTGAATGGAATTAACCCTTTACCCGTAAATGTGAATTTCTGGAAGCTGCAAAATGTGGCCATCAATATTGTTTTGTACGTCTCATCTGAATATTTTTTAAACTAGCAAAAAGGTGGAGTTGGGATGGGGCTCGAACCTCAGAAAAGAACAGATTTAGAAAAATATGCTGTGTCTTATTGTGTAGGAAAAATATTAATGAGAATAAAATTGATTGAGATATAAAGGCATGACAGTATTTTCCATGCGTTGGGAGGGAATAAAAAGGAATATGAAAAAGTTAATTTAAAGGAGAAAGTCTCTTGATCGAAATCAAGTTTAGATTTCAAAAGGATCCTAACAATAAAATATCCATTCATCTTGATTCTAGCTTATTCTCTAGTAAAGTCAGACATAGTCTTCTGTATCTTGTACTTTGAACAAGCACTGCTATGGTGGTGGAGGAGATGTGCTTAGGAAGACATTTCAGTAGCAATCCCAGAGATTCTTTCCTTTGTAGCATTTTAAATTTTGTCTCCTCTGTAAACTATATGTCTTAGGATTCTCTAGAGAAACAGAAATACATATTTATATATATAGGGGGAGAGAGAAAGAAAGAAAGGGAGAGGGAGAGGTATTTACTTCAAGGGATTGCCTCATGTGATTGGTGGTGGGGAGGGGTGGTAAGTCCAAAATCCACAGATCAAGTGGCAAGCTGGAGACTCCTGCAGGCTTGTGTCCCAAGATCTGTGGGTCAGGCAACAGAAAGAGTAAAGAGTGAGAGAAAGAGACAGTTTTGCCAAAATATCTGTTTATACTCTGGAGGCAGAATACACCCAAAGGAAACTCCCTTTTCAACTGATTGATTATATTAGATTAGATTACATTATGGAAGATGATTACATTGCATTATGTCACATTACAGAACAGCAACTAGACTGGTGTTTGGCCAAACCACTGAGAACCACAGCCTAGCCAAACTGACACAAAATTAACCATCACAGTATGCCTGGAAACAATCAGTAATTTGGGAAACAATTTCAGTATTTTAACTTCATTTATAATTCTATCTTTGAACACCTTGGGAAAGGGGAAGGCCAGCAAGTAAAGTCCCATTCAAATGTATCTATTTAAATTATAAAGGTGGGGAAAGTACAAATAACTGTGAAGATTGGTAAGCACATATTCTACCCAGCCACTCTGTATGCATTATCTCACTTAATATCTGAGCTACCTTTAGAGATGAGGAGTGGGTTTAGATGCTTGATGGAGCCTGGTCTAAGGCCACTGGGCAGTTAAGCAGAAGAGAGTAGCCAAGATTCCAGGCTCCATACTGCCTCTCTAGAAGCATCTGTCTGTTACCAGATTTTCTCTTCCATGCCAACATACTTTTCCCAGATATAGATGATTAGAGGCTTTTATTACTGAAGCTGACTAAAGAGATCTTGGCACTCACAGTTTTGGGAGAGAGAGAGAAGAAACTTGCAAGAAATCCAAAAATTATTTTTATTTTTATAAATGGAAGGTACCATCACAGGTTTCAAATAATAGTAGAATTAAGAAGTATTTTCTTTTAACTAATACATAATTTTACTAAAGAATTTTGTGCCTTCACAAACTTGCCTCAATCTACTTCTCCAACCTTATTTCTTGTCACTTCCTCCTGCTCAACGCCCTCATATCTCACCCCCGTTGCTTACCCACAATCTGGGTACACTAGACCACAAGCCACCAGAACGTTCTTTCACTCTGTGTGCTTTGCTCTAACAGTTTTCTGCAATTGCTTTCTGCTTTGCTTGTAAAAATTCTGGTCACTGTTCAAGGTTCACTTTAAGAGACATGTCTTCTCTGAGGCCTTCCCTGATTGTGCTTCTCCCCCACTAACTATTTTGTATCTGTATGTGTGTTTGCTTAGAGTACATATAGCATTAATCATAGTGTTTAAGTTTCACAGACTTTATCTGCTGACAGACCTGATTCTGCATCTCTCCTGGTACATAGTAGGTGCTAATGATATTTATTGAATTGAAAATTTGTCACAAATATTTTTTTCTCAGCCCCTTAAAGGTGCATGGATGTCTTCACTTTGATTTTTCTTATTAACTTAATACTTACTGACTTCCTACAGTGACTGCTATGAAGGAAGATAGAACCAATAAGTTAATATATTGCATTGTGCCACGCTTCATTTGTCAAAGGACTGTTCTTCATCTTAGCCTCAAAGCACTATATGGCCTCTGATCCCAAGGGATTTAGGAAACTGTACAATGGCAGTGGCAAATAGGCAAAATAATGATTTCATTATTTTAGTCTAAATATATTTATTGGGCTAAAACTTAGCTTCTCTTACCAAAACTATGTACCCAATAATGGACTTCTTTGGTGGCAAAGAATATAAGAACAGATGTCATTAACTTCTGCTTAGTCACTTCAGATTATTCTCAGAAAATTCTCAAGTCAACTTCTTGTTACCTAAAAAGTTTAGGCCTATCTGTGTATATAGGAGAAATGCAAATAAATTTTGAAATTAGGCTAGGTAAAATAAAATTAAGAAATTTTTTCATAAGATTACATTTACAAAGAGTCAAATACTCCCTTTACAAAGTAAGATTATAAAGGCATTGGTGGACTTTATGAATAATAACAGATGTTATAGCAGAGTGACATTGGATTAATCCAGTTGCCTCCCTAGGGTTTTTGATTGTTTATTTTTGTCTGCTAGAGTCCAGGAATTGAGGTTTCCTAAAACCTCCCAGCTCACAGATATCATCAAATGAAGCAGCACTATTCTATCTGCATATTGAACATTGCAGAAATAAAAAGCAGAATTAGAGCCCGATGAAATATACAGCTAATATACAAACTAATTGGTGTCAGCAGATTTGTCTGTGTTTTGCCAGAATAGCAAATGCAGCTCTTAAAGCAGAAGAGCTCATGTTTCACACTGCGTTCACTTGTAAGTTCTAACAAGTTCCCTCCTGCTTAAATATTCATCTTCTAGGGGGATCTGCCCACAGCTGCTGGAGCCACTGAGCTCCCCAGATGGCATCTCCCGGGTGCTTTCTCAGTTCTCTTCTGATCCAACTTCCCTTCTTGTGCTATTGACTGTCCCTGATGTTTTGGTTTGCCAATCTCAGTCATTACATCAGTCTTCCCAGCAATTTCATAGTCACTTCATCTTGTAAGATACGGCAAGCAGCAGAGGAAAGAAAAAAGTTTCAACTTATCTCCCTAATAATAACAGCTAATACTTATATATTGCTTACTTGGAATTGGCTGTTTTTCTAAGTACTTTAGCCACATTCATGCATGCTGTGAGGTAGTTACTGCTGTCATCTTCATGTTCGAAGGCCAGTTCATTCATTCACGTTTTGTTACTTAAATTTTTCTGCAATTGGACTTGTTTTATATTGACTGCCAAACTCAAAGGCAACCTCCTGGGATAACAGGCAGCAGACCATCATGCTTATTTGTACCTAAGCCATCGAGTTGAGCTCAAATAATCAGACCAGTTAACCAGTTGCTGTCAAGTTGACTCCAACTCATGGCAATCCCGTGTGTGTCAGAGTTTTCAATGGCTGATTTTTCAGAAGTTTTCAATGGCTGATTTTTCAGAAGTCTGTCAGGTCTTTCTTCCCAGGCATCTCTGCGTGGACTTGAA